CTCTTATCGGTATACAGTACACAAGCTAATGTCACTAATGGGATTGAGTGAGGATTGAGTTTGTTTTCCCCCAGTTTTGACGTGCCTTTGACATGGAACGATGAAAACCGAGCGCCACCTGTTACATTGATTCCCGCGATTAGAATAAGAAAATTCCCAGATCTTTTTGATTAATCACCATGATGAACCAACATTTATTTTCACAATATCAATATACAAAACATCTTGCTCTTTAACATTTAATAATATCTAGATAAAATTATCAATGGAAATGATTAGCCTATTTTAATATTTTACAGATATAGGCCTGACTTTTTTTTTCAGGAAACATTGAACCTTCTCTAACAAGAAGATTTGAGAGAAGAATATTGCCCAAACCTACAGTACTTGCTACAGTACCAGTATGTTTTTTTGGGGAAGATAGTACTAATTCACAGGTGAAAATAAAAACACTTTTGAACATTAGAATCTATTTGAATTTAACTTTATGATTCGATATAGTTCAAGGAAATCGAAAAGTGAAGATAATAATCATAGTTCATAACATCATTGTTCACATTAATTTGAATATACAGGGTGATCCAGGTTTTGAGGTAAGTACAAACTGAAATGGGTGATGGTTCTCATCATTTCAATCAAAAAAGTTTATAAAAATATGGGTCCTATCTCGATCAGTAGTGAAGCTACAAGGGGCTTTTATCAATTGAAATATCTTGCTCACGTCTAGAGATATCAATTCCAAATTGGGTGTGGTCAATACTTTCTAGAAAATCATCATTCGAAATTTTTCAAGGATTTTCAAAATCTACAGGGTGATACATTTTTGGGGGTAGAGGCTTCTTTATCCCCCCCCCCCCCATTTTTCAGTGTACGCCTTTGACATCTTCCAGTTACCAAATAGGAACATGTTAGATTTGCCCGATTTTGTCTATGTTTCTCTTGTTCTTGGACAAAATTCGTCAAGAATGGCTATGAAATGTACTAAAATTGCAATGTTTTTATAATCATGTGTCCAATCTGGATCAGTACGGTAGAAGGTCAGGTTTCTTTTAATACAACGATGCGGTTAAACTGGTTAAGCCCAATCCACTTTTGTCTAATATATTTTTCAATGTAATTGAAGGAATTGAAAAATAATACAGGGTTCAACCCTCGGTTCAACCTGTCGAGAAAAAAAAAAATTAAATTTCACCCTTTGTAGCTCCGCTACTGACCGAGATATGACTCATGTTTATGTAAACTTCTTCAATTAAAATGATGGGATCTATCACCCATTCCAGTTTGTACCTGAAAATCTGAATCACCCTGTATAATGTGGAAGGACATTTCAATTAAAAAGATGCACAAACTCATTTAGAAACATCTATCAGGCGTATGATGTTTTTTGAAGTGTATAATGAAAGGTTTCAGATACCGATCTCTCTAAATTTTCCATCCTAGATAAACAGACAAAAAAATTGAAATTATTAGCATGTGACATTTTCTGTGGTTGAGTATTTCCTGATGATATTGATTTCTTGAAATTTTGTATCAGAATTATTCAAACGATTTTCGTTTGTATCAGAATTCTTCATTAAAAATATATGCGAAATGTAGAAGAAAGTGAAATCGAAGAGAATGTTTTGGTACTTGCATATCTCCAAGAAGTGTAAAAATGAAGCATCCATCTTTAAGAACAATTTATTAATTCTGCGCTAAGCATGACAATAAACGTGAAACAAAGGTTAGTAAGTAATTGACTGGGCACATCTACAACCAATATCACTTATACGTGTCTCGCTGGTTGCATGCAGTTGCATGTATTATGTTCTCAATTCCCATTCCTTTCGTATTATTTTGTAGGTTAACAGGAATTGCAGGTATGTTAATGTAATTTTCGGAGTTCGTAGAAAAATCATAGTATGTAACGCGTTTATAAACTCTTCTAGACACTCGTTTATTAAACACTCGCTCCGCTCTGCTCCGCTCGTGCTTAAACTACTCGTTACTAAAAGGACGTTTATAACACTTATTACATAATATACTATTATATGTGGTCCATTTCATAGACCATCATGCTTTAAGGAATATGTGGTGCAGAACGTGGACCACCATGCATCAACTAGTTTTGATGGATTCATATGAAAATTAATAGGTAACAATGGTATAAACAGGGTTTCTCTGAAATGAAAAAATTTAGATATCAATGACATTTTCAGATATTAATTTGATGGATGGGTATAATGTTTAGTGAAGTTTTATTTTGATAGTTGTTATTGATGAAAGTTATGACCAACAAATATATATCACAAATTGTCAAATGTCTACAGCACCCTTTCACGCACTAGCTGCAATGCGGCCAGTACTAAACCTCTATTCACGCGAAATATGTCACTCCCCACAAAAGTTATGTAATATAAACTGCCCAACACTCAAACCGTAAAATCGACATTTTTCGTTCAATTTGTATTCATAAAAATATTCATGATTATCTCAGAAATGAGTGTGACAATATCAACAAATACGAAATCTTTTCAAGAGAAACGATGGTGCAATATGTTTGTCACCCCAGAAGGAATTAGAAAACTGTTCGTTCCAAACGAGAGTCATTTTGGGGCTTCTGAAAACTGGCACAGCTTCGATTGTCATCAGGGGCTTCATTTCAGTGAATACTAGGGGAGTCGGTCAAGAAACTCAGAAAACATAGTCGCGCGGTGAAAATGCGCCGCAGGCGAATTTGCTTTTGGGTTCAAGGTAGTATACTGAATGCTGTTTAAAACATTGTTAAACAATATGTAATTTTTTAAATTTCGAGTACTGGTGCAATAGCATTATATGGTTTTAGAAAGGTACTAAGTAGAATCAATTTTTCTAGAAACTCAGAAACTAAATGACTCCCATGATTATCATGAAGAAATGCAATAAAAATTTTCATGGGTTCGATCGAGAGTTCAATAGTCAATGAAATGAATTGATTCAGAAACTGAAATAACATTTTGATTTGACGATTTGAGTGTTGAGCAATAATTGATGGAATTCCTGCCCCATAATAATAGGTTTTTCATCAAATGAAAATAACATTTTTTCATAGATGAAAATCCAAAGTCATTTCCACAACTTTCATCAGAATGATCAAAGATCAATCGTAACGGAACATGTTCGGGCTTATACAGTGTGTCTAACTTCTAATGGCGAAACACCCCTGTATATCTTACGTAATCGTTGGGTTAGGCTCCTCAAATTCGCTGGAGCGGTAGATATACCAAAAATGTACTCTATGGATAAGTGGCATCATCTTCAGTGATATACACTGCTCGTTTACAGTCGTGGAAGTATAAACATGTCCGGAAAATGATATTAAGAGACAAGATATATAGGTTGAAAATCACTTCGGATTTGAAAACAGGACATCCAATTCACTAACATTTCATGTTTTGACTTATTACTATCGGTTACGATTTTCCTCATACTATTAACGAATTCATTCATTCATAATGCACCCGTCATGATTTTTGATCCATTGGTTCACTCCTGATAATCTATTCGATTGTACTAGTTCTGATTGTATTTCATTATCTCTGATGAGAATTAACTTTATGATTATCAATTTCAGAACAACAATTGGGTGAAGTTCCCGATTATATGAATTAAAAAATTTCAGACTCCTACAACAATAACTACGTAAAATACTGGGGTGCTTTCACGAAAAGTGAGACAGAATTTATCATTTCAGACTGAACATTTCTCAGTCAGAAGGAATATAAGTACTTAGTGAATTAGACGTTCTGTTATCTGTTCTCGAATCCGCAGTGATTTCCAACCTATCTCTTCTAATATGATTTTCCGGGCATGTAGGTGGTTCCATTACTGCTAGCGAGCAGTGAATATCAATGATGATAATTTCAATTGGAATATTTCTTGCTTCTAGAAATTTAACAATCCTAACTCGATAATTACCTGAGATACAAGGGTGTTTCTATGAGAAGTGAGACAAAAATGAAATTTTCATAACTGACCAGAAAAAATATGAATAGTTAGTGAATTGGACGTCCTGATTCCGAATCCGAAGTGATTTTGAACCTAGTTCAACTCCTAATATCAAATTCCGGAAATTGAGATGGTTCCATGGCTCTTGGCGAGCAGTGTATATCAGTGAAGATGACCCCACTTGGTCATAGAGTACATTTTTGGTATATATCTCGCTCCAGCAAATTTCTAGGATCCTTACCCAACGAATACATGAGATACAGGAGTGTTTCCATTAGAAGTGACAAACACTGTATAAGCCCATCATAAGCCAATAGTTCATAGTTCTGCGTTCGTATGACTCGAACCCACGATCGATACCTCGACGTGAATCGATATTGAAGCATCGAAGCACTGAGGTACGCCGGCCTTCAATATTATAAAGAAAATTGATTTCGTTAGGCAGCCGGGAAAATCTGATGTAATGACATTTATTTACATTCAAAGATAAGTAATTGGTAACACAGTAATTCTGTAGATTATTTATATCACGTTGAAGTAGTCGGCTATCTGTCAAGGTAGATATTGACTTGAACATTTTAAGATCATCAGCATATATATAGAATGGTGTGAGTTTGCAAAGCATGAACCAATGTTATGTATGAAAAGATTGAAGAGAAGGGGACCCAAATGAGACCCTTGCGGAACTTCCGAGGTGACCCTGACTGGTGATGATAAAATATTGTTGATTTTGACAACCTGGGATCTATTACTTAATTCAGTAGGATTCAATCCACTGAAGCAGGTTACCGTAGTACTTAGTACTTAACTCATTTTTGCATCTTTATCCCAAGTCAATACCGATTTCTGTAGAATTATGATACTTTCTATCGGCTGATGATGGGCTTATATAAGCCCGAAACATGTTCCGTTACGATTGACCTTTGATTATTCTAATAAAAATTGTGGATATGACTTTGGGTTTTCATCTATGAACTAACCCAACTCCACTTAAAGTTATCATGGACTTCTTCCAAAGATTACATTTTTTTCAGTTTCGCATATTTGAAAATGGAAATCATCCACCAATTAAGAGCGAGATTACTTCGGAGATTACCTTACAAACGTCAGAAGATGAGATGAATAGTGAAGATGCACCTGATCTTATGTAAGTCTGAAAGCTTTATCAGAAGTTCAGTCTACTATTCAATGTTTTTTTGTTCACGCAGTTTGCCTGAAGATATTCAAACAGACAATTTGGATCCGGAAAGTCCGTTATCTCGAAAGATGACACACCCAGAAATTTCTGAAACACCCCACAAAATTCAAAGGCTTGATTCTGATGAACCGTTTTCGAAGGACATCAACGAATTGAAAATCAAGTTTCTTATTGCTGAAGAACAGAGGAGGAAACAATTGTACAGCAATGAAATTGCACAAAAAGATGAACTTTTCCAATTGGAGCTGAGGCATAAAAAGGAGATACATGAGAAAGAGATGGAAATAAAAAAATTGGAATTGATTTTGTTGAAACAGAGGTTGCAACAAAACCATTTATGATAAATACTCTCTGTAGGTTAATCCAGGAGGTCGAATATTCATTTCTCTAGATTTTTGTGAGTTTCTCTCCTTGTCTATACAGCGTGTCTCACTTTGAACGTCCACCTATACATCTCAGCTAGTAGTCGTGCAATTCGTACCAGTACAGGGTGGTTCAGAATTGAAATTTTTGACCACCCTGTATCTATTTCAATTGAATATCAATTGATAGTACATAAACAGTCAAGATAGGGACATGAAACCGTTTTGACCAATGATGACACAAAACATTCTTGAAGTTGAAAAATCTCGATTTCTCATCATACCCTATATCTTTGTTATCATTTCCGCTGGACCCCAAGTGTGATAGATCGATGAAATCAGCTCTTCAGGCCGAATATGAAAATGGAATAAAATACAGGGTGTCCCATATAAAAAGTCGAAGTTATTGCTACTTTTCAATATAAGCGGCAACGTCGCAACACTGTGAATATTTTAGGTCGATAGAACACAACTAATTATCCAAGACACCAACTTTTCAGAATGATCCTGAGTTGCATGTCTATATGTGCCATCCATCGTGAATCATCCTGTATATATATGAGTGAAAATCCCAGAAATTTTGAGAAATGGACATTTATGATATGTTGTGTTATGTTAAAATAGTTTTATATTTTTATTAAAAAAGTGACGATTTTCTGTTTATATTCACCCTACTTCTTTTCACCAACCAAAGTTACCAAAAATTTGTCCATATTTTTGTTCCGATATGGGCCATGTTCGTACCAAATTGACGGACGAGCAGAAAAAAATCGGACAATCACAAACGAGCCAGAGTGAAAAAATATAGTCATTCAAAGTTCGATCGTCTTATCTCATTTCCTCTCCACTAACTTGTATCGACATGCACTGGATGAATCTACCTTATTGAATCCATGCACCCTCTATAAAATCTGGTAGAGGTCATAACAACCGAACCCAAGCGTTTGTTTACGGCGAGGTCATATGCACAAGACTTTTGCAATGTCGTCGGACGTTCATTAATAGTTGAAATATATGGTATGGTGAGGGCATACATTTAAAAAAATCGAGGAATTTCTCTACCACTATTGAATTCATGGAATCGTGCTATATGGACGTTCTAAAGAAATAAGCTTCGGATAGTCGTGATGTCCCAATAAATACGTCCATTTTAGTACGGCGGACTTCTATACATGATGTCCATACCCATCAGTTAGCACAGGATATCTTATGGATATCCATTTCAAATCCTATATTCAAGGCGGGATATCCGTAGACATAAAATGTATATCCATATAAGATATCCGATTGCGGATGTACTTGAGATATCCGAAACGAACGTCCTGAATACGTCCATAGGATATCCTTGAGATACAGAGACAAAAGATCAATACATAGAAATTTCAAATCAAGTATATACAATGAATGAAATTATTAATAAATGAATAAAGGAGATCCACAAAAGTAACACTTGTGCGTGGGTCTTCCAAAAGATAGCACACATTGTGATGCACTATCTGCTATTATTAATAATTCGGTTTTCAAAAACAGCGCGAGGGGGCCTAATGTCTCAAATAGTCCAAGATTGGAAGAACTGATGATTATATTTATAGACCATCATCATGGATATCCATAATGGATCCAAATAGGTCACACTCTGTCACATCCTATATATGGACTCCCATAGGATATTTTATGGACTTACATCAGCACATTATCCATGATATGGATATCCATAGTATATGCACAAGATGTACTTGTGCTATCTGGGTAAGATATCTATACAGGGAGGAGACTTTAACTGGAATGAATTCGCTACTGGCGAAGTGAATGATTTTTATGAAGATTTGGCGAGTAATATGAAGAATATAACCCTTCAGGGGTAGCAGCCCGAACAACACAGGGATGTCCTGGGTACGTCCCTTTTTTGTCCTGCGGTACAAGGACATGATTGGGGCATCCAGGGGATGTCGCGCAGTGGTTGTCCAGTGGACATCCCGCCTGGTATACATCCCTTGGTTATCCTATTCGTGTCCCTGGAATATCTGATATCCATTCACATCAGAGTCATTGGATTTCATCAAAGTATTAAAATAAAGAATGAAGTTTCAGAACTTCTTAAGAAATAATAACCATTTTTCGCAAACAGAAATCGTACATGCATAATGCCCCTCATTTTTAAACACCCAAGAATGATAATAATATAATAATTATACCCAAATCCTAACTAAGTTGTATTTATTCAGGTTTCTGTAGTTAAGTCCTGTTTATATAAATCAGTTTAGTACATAAATCTTCAGGAGGCTCAATAGCCAATGGAGTAAGATGCGTGCTCCGCTCGTGCTTAAAATACTCTCTTTACTAAAAGGACGTTATAACACTTGTTACATAATATACTATAAAACAAACATATTGTTTGCCTGTATATCACTGTGGTAAATTATTTCTTGTATAATGGGAAGGGTTCGATCTTTTCACTACATCTTGTATGTTAAAGTCTTCCATAATCACGAGACATTTTTGGAAATAATATATTTTCAGCCTATGTAAAATTCTTTCATATTGTGAGTGATTTTTGAAAAAACAATACCACCTGCATACAAAATATCTCCCCCCCCCCGTTTAATTTTATTATCATTAATCATAGATGAATCATTTGTTCGGAAATTAATCGGTTAGCAGCATTATTCAACTTATTAGTCATTCATTCGGGACCGGGTGGTAAATCAAGACAGTCTTATATTAAATGTCATCACGTACGGTCGCATTTTGTGATCGGCATTGAAATAGACGCGAACGGATTTATTTATGGTAGGTACAAACAAAGTGTCGTGTTCCCTAAAAAATGAGTGATAGTTATGTGTTTTTGTATTCCTCATTTAATAATTCATATCGTGATGGTGTGTGTTCTAGTGTTTCGTGTTGTTTCATCAGAGCTTCACTTTTTTCACGCTCGTGAGTGAAGAGAAATCCTCTGAAATTTTCCTCAAATTTCCCTGTATTATCATTCAACTTCATTACCCTTCATGTTTTGTACCGTTTGTTGTATTATTTTTCGATCAAGGAATACTTTCTTCTGATTTTCGTGCTTTCTGTTCGGAACTGTATTTTTTAAAAACAAAATAATGCAAAATAGACCAGTGCTGAAGCCTTTGAAAACGGTAAAATTTGTAGAAAAATTATAGTAGGATGAAACTCATTGAAAAAGAAAGAGAAATATAACAAAAAGATGAAAGGGAAAATAAATTACGGGCGATCTGAGGTCGGGAAGTGGTAGGGGGTGAGTTTTCAAGGGCAAAAAATTGTTTCTCTTGATTTTCAGCAAAACTACTAGCCCTATGGAAAAAAGTTGAATAGCGAAGTTGTAGGTAATAAGGAGACCTACAACTTTAATTATGACACTTTTTTCATATGACCTCAAAATTTATGTGAAAAATTCAAATAATGAAGTTTTTGGTTTTTTATTTTTGTCTTATGCAAAAAAAATTTATTCCACGGAATTTGGTGAAAATTCACCTTTTTTATGTCCTGAAGATACTGTAATTATTTTGATTTGAAATATTAATTTTTTCACCTTATTTTGACTTAATATCGAAAAAACACCATAATTCTTAATCAAAAATTCTCACGTCAAAATATCAGCTTTTTAAAAAAACTCGGGGCGTTTTTTGTTCGTTAAAATCTCTTCTTTCTGATAATGTAAAAAAATATATACCTACATTACAATAGTAAATGTTCTCAGAAATGCAAAGGAAGGAAAAAAACTCGAATCCGAATTTTTTTTTTATCACTATATGTACAATTTTGAGCTATTTAGTGAAATTTACACTTCAATTAAAGATTGCGAATATTCGAAAATAGTTGTTCTAAATATTGAAGATAGAATTCAGAGGGGGGATTTCAATAAAAAAATGTGATCGCTTCAATTTTTTTCAGTCAAAATGTTGATTTATTAAATTCTAATCAAATTTATGTCATTGAGAATCTCATAATATATGAATAGAGATGTGAATCATACTATATTGGATTTAGATACATTATACTGATTATTATTATCCATGATGATATCTTAATTTAAATGCATTAATCTTCTTGTTTATAAATTTTATCTTGAACCCTAATCACTTATCCATTACTTATACATTACATTACAATCACAAATTTATTTTCAAATTGTCATGGTTCTGAAAAATGCACCAATGTGGAAGAAAAAACTACGATGAAGTTAGTGATTCAGATGAAATTGTGGATGAAGGACCAATTCAGACTAAAAATAATAATTTCGAAGATCTACTAGAATCGGGAAGGTTTGTCGAATCTAACGATGAAGAAATGCCACCGAAGAGACAAAAAGTAATGGATAAGTGATTGGGGTTCAAGATAAGATTTATAAATGAGAAGATAAATACATTTAAAGATATTATTATGAATGATAATAATCAGTATAAAGAATCTTAATTCAATAGTACGATTTACATTTTAATAAATCAACTTTTTGACTGGAGAAAATTGCAGCAATCACATTTTTTATTGAAATCCCCCCTTTAAATCTCACTTTAAATCCTATAATCTTTAATATTTGGACCAACTATTTCCGCATGTTCCTTGCAATCTTCATGTAATTAAAGTGTAAATTTCACTAAATAGCTGAAAATTGTACATAGTGATTAAAAAAAATTCAGATTCCAGTTTTTTTCTTTCCTTTGCATTTCTGAGAACATTTAATATAAAGCTGATATTTTGACGTGAGAATTACCGATTGAAAATTAGGGTGTTTTATCGATATTAGGTCAAAATAAGGAGAAAAAATAAATATTTAAAATCAGGGTGTTCTTTCGATATTAGGTCAAAATAAGGAGAAAAAATAAATATTTTGAATCAAAAAAATTACAGTGTCTCAAGGACATGAGAGGGTAAGTTTTCACCAAATTTCGTGGGAATTTTCTTCTGCATGAGAAATAAAAAACCAAAAACTTATTATTTGAATTTTTCACAGGAAG